AAACAAATCACATAACAAAACAAAAAAGGAGATTTATTTATTTTTGTTTAATTTTATGTGTATGGGTGTTTTGCCTGCACGAATGTGCACCACTGGTGTATACAATACTTACAGAGGTCAGAGGCATCAGATATTTTGGAATTGGAGCTACAGACACTTGTGCACTGTTATCTGGGTGCTGGGAATAGAATCCGGGGCCTCTGGAAGAGCAGTCAGTGCTCTTAGCCACTGAGGCATATCTCTCTTCAGTCCTAAAACCTTAAAAACCACTTGGGAATTTGAGGCAGGTGGATTGCCGTGAGTGCAGAACAGCCTGGGCTATAGCACAAGACCCTACCTCAAATGAGAGGGGTTGGGGACAGAGATGGAGAGGCTGACTAAATATTAAAATGTAATCTCTGACTTGCTCATATTCAAATTCAGTCTCCAAATCTAGGCTAATTTATTTGACCTTCCCATAAATCCAGAAGATCAGGACTAAAAATCATAATGAATCTAGACCCAAACTGACATGCTACTCAGACCTTACCACAGGTGAGGAAGCAGCCACATTGCCCAAGTGGCTGCTTTCAATATGTGCACTCATGGATTGCCTCTGCTTTAATCTTTTTAGCTTTTTTTGGGGTGGGGTGGGATTGTGCCAGGAGTCAGACATAGGGCCTCAGGCATGCTAGGCAGGCATCCTACAGCTGAGTCACACCCTCAGCCTCTGATTTATCCTTAGATAAAATAAGTATTTTGCTATTATCTTACCAGTTATTTTACTCTATCTTTATTGTCTTACAGAGAAAATAACTTTGAAGGAGAGATGGCTGCTGGAGAGATGGCTCATCGGTTAAGAAAACTGGCTGCTCCTCCAGAGGCCCTGAGTTCAATCCTCAGAAACCATATGGTGGCTCACAACCATTTCTAGTGAGATCTAGTGCCCTCTTCTGGCGTGCAAGCATACATGCAGGCAGAACACTATGTATATAATAAATAAATCTTAAAAAAAGAAAGGAATGTTGGGGATGATGAGTAGAGTTTTGGTTTTATTTTGTATTTGTGTGTGTGTGTGTGTGTGTGTGTGTGTGTGTGGTATATGTGCATTTCCACTCATATATATGCATATGTATGTGTGCATGTATGTGGAAGCCAGAAGTGGATATTGAGTGTTGGCTTCACTAGCTCTCTGCCTTATTTTTTGAAACAGGATCTCTCATTAACCTGGAGTTCACTGATTTGGCTAGATAGACTAGTGGAGGATCCATCAGTCTGCCCACTCCCCATTCCCCAGTGGGTTACAGGCTTGTACTGCCATATTGGCTTTTGCATAGATTCTGGTGATCAAAACTCAGGTCCTCCAGAGTGTGTGTGTGTATACACATAGGTACACTCAAGAGCAACCCAAAATGGGTATGGAAGACAAAAGACAGCTTGTAGGAGCCAGCCCTCCCCCTTCACTTGTAGGTTCCAGTACAAGCACCTGTACTTGATGAATCGTCTCACTGGCCGGTCTGTACTCATTTTGTGGTGCTAGCTTGGTAGAAGGTATGTATCCCAGGCTGGTCTTGAATTCATGGCAACCTTCCTGCCTCAGCCTTCCAAGTATTGGGATTGGGATTATAGGTGTGGGACACCATGTCCAGCTAAATGGTGATATACATTATTTGTTATGTTTGGCTTTTTGAGATAGAGCCTCACTCTGTAGTCCTGGCTGGTTAGGAACTCAGTTTGTAACCCAGCCGGCCACAAATTTGCAACCCTCTTGCCTCCACCTCCTGAATGTGGGTTTTGTGTGAGCCGCTAGGCCAGGCTCCTATACTCCTTTGTTTTAGTAAGTATACTTAATAGCAAGTGCTATGATGAAAGTCCCTTGCAGCTTAGTGGGGTCCACGTATTTTGGGCTTGCTAGCCAAGCACTCAGACCTGAGGCCAAACATTCAGCCTGAGACAGTTTATTACTGAGCCCAATAGGAGTGATCATAGCTCAAAAACAATGATTCAAGTGGTTATTTCACATGCTCCAATGTGAAAATAGTTTGATGAAGTTTTTAATTACAAAACAAAAAAAAATCTCAGAAAAACAAAACAAAAAGCCACAAGTCCAGGCATTTTTCTGTTCATTGGTGGGAATGGGCAGGTCACAATAAATCAAAACTATGGGCCTTGGATACTATTGGAAATGTTTGTTAGTTGCTTGGTTGTTGGCAGCAGATGGTCAGCCAAGTTAATGCATTCCAAAGGTTCCACCTCGTAACCATAGGACGCCAGATCAGACAAAAAGCTGGATGAATGTCTAGGTAGGGGGCTAGAGATAGTCCCAAAGATTGTTTCTGGATCTGTAACACTCCAACCAACATTTTTTTCTTTCCTAGTTTTTCTAAACAGGGTTTCTCTGTGTAGTCCTGGCTGCCCTGGAACTCACAAATATACACCCTACCTCTGCCTCCCAAGTACTGGGATTAAAGCTACTACCACCAAGTTCAATCACCATTTAAAATTCTTTTAACAGGGGTGTAGCCTTTCCTAGGAATTTCAGCTCACACAGTTGTGAGGCAAGGTCTCACTGAGTTGATCATGCTGGCCTTGAACTTGCTATTCTCTTGCCTCAACCTCCTGAGTGGTTGTTATAGGGCCTGTGCCATCAGACCTGACTGTATTTGGTTTTTGGTAGTGTAGGGATAAATGGGTTTATTATATAGTAGGGTACCCTGTAGTGAGATATTCCCCCCCCCCCCCGCCCCTACATCTGTAGCACTGACCACTCCCATTTGGGTGTGGTCACAGGTTGGGACATGACAGAGCACCGTTTCTGGATCCTTGGAGCTGGAACCTGCAGTGGTCACCCACCTCTTGTGTAAGTGTCTTCTCCCTGAATAAACTTCACTTAACCTATACTGAGTCTAGTGAATCTTGATTCCCACACGATAGTACCCTCAAGTGGTTTTGGTTGTTTTGGAAAGAGTTTTACTATGTAGCCCAGGTTGGCCCTGAAATTCTGGTCCTCATGCTTTTGTGGAGTACTCAGGGTACAAGTATCCCCACATGCCTTGCTTTGAACACTTTTTAAGATTTATTATTTTTAATCACTGTCATTATCAGTTAAAATTTTTATTTCTTAAAAGTATTTTAGAACATGTATTTATATCTTTTTTATTAAAAGATATTAAAATCCTTTCATGTTCAAAAATTAGGCACACTAGACTTAAAAACAAACATTCTCTAGAACATTTTATCTTCAGCTGTCAGGAAGATGTATTTTCAGAGAGTGTGTTGAAAGTTAGGAAAATCGATGGTTCTGGTTCTGTCAGGGGCAGTATTTAGGCTGTTATTTTGATAAAACCCAGTTGCTTTGATGTGATTCGAGAACACTTGTTCTTTTGGAGTATACCTGCAGGGAAAGAACTGGGGCTTGGGCGAGAACGCACCATACTGGCTAGAATTGGTTTTGTACATGATCATCTGTGGTTTAGACAATGAGGTGGTTGTGTGGAATGTCTTGGGGTCCAACATACAGGAGAACACAGGGTTGCCAGGGTTCACACATGGAGCCGATGGTTCAGGTTTCATTTCATCTGAAGTCAAAGTACTTTTCTTAACCTAAAAGGCACACAAACCATCTTCAATTACTCAGGAGCAGACTTAAACCTATCCCCCCCCCACCCTCCTTTTCATATCCTCTTTTCTTGGTTTGTTTTTTTTTTTTTTTTTTTTTTTCTTTTTTTTTTTTTTTTTTTTTTTTTATTCTGAGACAGGATTTTATTATGTAGCTTTGGCTGGACTGGAGCTCACTATGTAGGATCAGGCTGTTCTGGAACTCATACAGATCTGCCTGCCTTTCTAGTGCTGGGATTAAAATCTAGGGCTACCATACCTGGCTCTCTCTGGCACTCTCTCTCTGGTTCTCTTCTCTCTCTCTGGTTCTCTTCTGAATCTCACAGGCATACCTTTCTCTCTCTCTCTCTCTCTCTCTCTCTCTCTCTCTCTCTCTCTCTGAAAGGGTCTCAAGTGGCCCCGTCTAGCCTAGAACTCTGTGTGAAGCTGCAGATGACCTTGAACTTCTGACCATCTTGCCTTCAACCTTCCAACCATCAGTGTCATGTCATGGGCCATCACATCTGGCTACATTTTACTTGTAGCCCGGCATTTGGTGGCTTTTTAAGTTGCACTGGACAAAGGATTTAAAAGACTAAATGAGGCAGGGCGTTGGTGGTGCACGCCTTTAATCCCAGCACTCGGGAGGCAGAGGCAAGTGGATCTCTGTGAGTTTGAGGCCAGCCTGGTCTCCAGAGCCAGTGCCAGGATAGGCTCCAAAGCTACACAGAGAAACCCTGTCTGGAAGAACAACAACAACAACAAAAAGCCACCAAATTACAGACTTTGCTGTGAAGCCATATATTGAGGCCTCTGTTCTGAGTGCCCCTGGCCTATCCAAATGTATGCCGCTGTTCTTTCATGGCTCTCCTGTTCTCTTAGTATCTGTGCTGCAACTTACAAAACCTGAATTTGTTTCCTAATAACTCCAGCCTTGCTTTGTACTTAATGCCCGAATCTCTTGTCATCAGTCAAGAATCTTTCTTGTCCAGATTTCTTGTCCTGCTGCTCTATTTAGTAGAGTAGCCCTGTCCACCAATGTGACTGAAGCCCTATCATTTTCTGGTTCTTTGAAACACAGTCTTAATTCTGTGATCCAGACTGAACTCAAGAAACTACTCCTGCCTCAGCTTCCTGAGTGCTGTCATTGCAGACTTGTGCCACCATGCTTGGCTATGAGATTCCTGTACTAGCTCAGTAACTTTTTGTTTGTTTTTTCTTTTGTTTGTTTTGTTTTGTTTTTTTTTTGAGATACAGTTTATCTGTGTAACTTTGGAGGCTGTCCTGGAACTCACAATGTAGACCAGGCTGGTCTCGAACTCTGCCTTCCTCTGCCTCTGCCTCCGAGTGCTTGGCTGAGATCAAAGGCGTGTGCCACCATGGCCCGGCATGACCTCACATTTTTATTCGATAAACCTACACAGTTAAAAATTAGGCAGTAGCATAGTGTGGCTTACAGAGTTAGCCACCATTGCTGGCTGCTTTTCTTATTTTAACGATAATGATAAGGTAGAGTTGGCTCCGGTGTGGCACATGCACACCCTTTAGTCCCAGCACCTGGGTTCAAGGCCAGCCTGGTCTACAGAGCAAGTTCCAGACAGCTAAGGAAGACTACATAAAGAGAAACTTGCCTTGGAAAACAAAAATTTAGGGGCTGAGGATGTGGTTTAATTAGTAGGAAGCTTGCCAAACAAATATATAAAGAGGCCCTGGGTTCATGTGAAGAACCACATGAACTGGGCATGATGGCTCATACCTGTAATCCCACAGAGGATCAGAAGGGTCATCTCAAGTTACAAGGGACATAGAGGCTATCCTGGGATACAGGAAGCCCTGTCTCAAAAAAAAAAATCTAGAAATTGGAATTCTAAAAGAATGTGGTGTAAGACACAAACTTCAATCTAGATGTGACCCACTTAAAAATGGCTAAAAACACAAACAAAACCCAAACCACAGATTTTGGGCTAACTTGAAGGAAAATTGAATGTAAACATTAAAATGCTGAATAAATGGATTTTTTCTTTTGAGACAGGTCCCAATAATTACTTGGCCCCAAACTGCTGGCAGTTTTCCTGCCTTAGGCTCCACAGCGCTGGGATTCTAGGTCTGGGCCACCATGCTTAGTCATACCATGGGCTTTCTTTGGTTATTACTATCCACTTCAGTTAGTGAGGACTCCAGTTTTCATCAAATCACCCTTGCTACTACTACTGACACTAAGAACTTCAGCTCCAGATATAGTCATTTTTAGAAGTCACTTCAAATAATGCAAATCACTTAATGATTTATCTACTATCACATCAGGGTCAATGCGGTCAACTTCCACCTTTTAGATCTCCATTGTAACTGGAGATGTTTATAGGTAAGCAAAGTAACTACCACTTTACCCCACTCACTGTAAAAGCAGCTTTGTTATCTGAATTTTAGCCTTCTTGGAGTTCTAAGAGCAGTTTGTGCGGTATACGCCTGTAATCTCAATATTTGGGAAGCAGAGGCAAAAGTTTCTGGAGTTCAATGTCAGCTACATAGAGAAAAGTGAGGTCAGTCTGAAATACTCTGAGAAGCTGTCTTTTTTTTTTTTTTTTTTTTTTTTTTTTTTTTTTTTTGGTTTTTCGAGACAGGGTTTCTCTGTGTAGCTTTGGAACCTATCCTGGCACTCGCTCTGGAGACCAGGCTGGTCTCGAACTCACAGAGATCCACCTGCCTCTGCCTCCCAAGTGCTGGGATTAAAGGCGTGTGCCACCAAAGCCCGGCTGAGAAGCTGTCTTAAAACAAACAAACAAACAGACAAAACCTCCACCCCAAACTCCTCTCTCACTTAAACAAAAACAAGGAGTCAGGGAATATACCTCCTTGGAGGGTGCTTTCCTAATTTGTGTGAGGCTTGAGATTCAGTTCCTGGTTACAGCAACACAAAAAGCAGGTCTAGTTGTGAAACCAGCTTTTGCCCAACATCAGCTACTTGAATGGCTTCCTTTGTTATTTACTCATTAACTAGGTAAAGGACAGAGGAAAGTTAGCGATCCTTGGGTGAGTGCACTGCGTTCCCCCTCCCCGATCCTTTTAGACAATACATACTATAAATGATATCAAAATGAAGGTACTAGGGCTGGAAAGTGTAGTTCTGTAGTAAAGCGGTTGCCTATCATTCACAAGGCCCTGGATGAGATCCCCACGAGTGCAAACATAAACACAATAAAAAACATCCTGGTCAAAAGCATCACCCGTTTGTAGTGAGGTGCTGCCCTTACACCTACAATTACTTAGTGGATCGTGCATTTACACTTGTAAATGTAAAAGTCTGGTGACTAACTAGGTGAGTGAGTGGAAGTAGATGGTGCCTCAAACACCGTCAAAGAATTTGACTTTCAAAAACATCTAGCCTTCCACCCAAACCCACCAAGTCCCAGTCGGTCGGTTTCTCCATCTTCAAAATCTTTTCAGCAAAAGCAGCTCTTTCTTGATGGCGAGAAGTCTGGCGAGGGCGCAGGGTCCGGTCTTCTCACTGAATCGACGAAAAGCAGCAGCAAGGACGAAGCCAGAACGATCCGTGTGGCTTCTGGAGAGTGAAAGAGCTGGTGAAAACCCTGTCTTCTAGTGTAGCAGCCAGTCTCCACGGCAACGGGTTGCAGGCGTGGGAGCCCGGATGTTGTGGGGATCCGCGGTGGCCCCGCCCAGCTTCCGGCAGCCTCGGGGCGGAGGGCCGCACGGCTCTTCGGGAGTCGTAGTTCTTTCTCCCCGCCGCGGGCCGGCGGGAGGCTCAGGAGGAACTACAGGTCTCGGCATGCTTCGCGGCACCGCGCCAGCCGCCGCTTCACGCCCGCGAGCAGGTTGTTGTTTTTATGAGGCGTCACTGGCGTTTGGAGCCCGGACTCCGCCACGGTGACAGTCGGTGCGGTCAGGCAGAGGAGGCGCTGCCTTCAGGTAGGTCCCCCCCAGGGGCGCAGGTCCCGAGGATGGGAAGGTCGCGGTCTGCAGCTCGTGCCTTCGGGTGCAGCTCCGGGAGGCTGTCTTCTGGCTGTCGCCTCGGTCCTCGCGCTCGGGCAACCTCGGGTGGAGGGCGCGACCTGGCGGGCGTGAGGCGCGGGCTCGCGGGCTGCAACCCCCACGAGCTCCGGGCTGGGCGTCCTGGGATTCGGGTGCGGCTGCATCCATATGCTGAGATGCGGCGTGCGTCACCCTGCGGCCGTCACCCTGCGGCGGCTCTGAGGTCCCGGGTGTCAGAAATAGAAAAGTGCCAGCGTGCAGCCCAGAGATGCGCTCCTACTCATTCCTGAAGCCGTCCTGCTCCTCTACCCTTCCTCGCTTTCATCTTCTTCCCCTACGGGGCCTCCCCAGCGTTGGTCAGGCTCGCGGGGGCTTGCCCTCATTAGTAGCTGTGCATATGCAAGACGTGTTTACCTTTCATTTGTCCCAACTTTGCCAGGGGCAAAATGCCCCAACCCGAGAAACGTGCACCACCCTCCCCCACGTTTGCTTTCTTAACCGTATGGAGTTGCTTGTACCCAGAATGGGCAACCAATTAATTACTCTCAGTTAGTGCTTTGCGTCTTCCAGCAAGGTCACGTAATTCTTGAAATGTCAGCGTTAACTCCCCACCTCCCCCTTTGGTTTTCTGAGATAGGGTTTCTTTGTAGCACTGGCTGACTTAGAACTTCTGTACGAGATAGCTTGCCTCTGACACACCTGAGTTTGGGATTAAAGGCGTGTGCCACCACCACCCAGCTTTAAGGTCCTGGTTTTAATAATTTACTGCTCCAATAAGTTCAAGTCTGGGATGGTTTTAGGTTAATGCTCAAGGGGGTTTTTTTTTTTTTTTTTTTTTTTTTTTTTTTTCTTGCCATGTAGCTCTGGCTGTCCTGATATTACTTATAGCCCAGGTTAGACCTGGGAGTTTTCTTGCCTAAGTCTCCTCTAAGTACTGTGGTCATAGTTGAATATCACCAAGCCATGATGTTAATGCTATTTTAACCCCTTTACACTAAAATTGGAATTCCAGTCAAAGGTGACACCCCAGGCATTTGAAATGTGAAGCAGGAGGATGTCAAGTTTGGTAACAATCTGGGCAATATAGTGAGACATATTCCCAAATAAAAAGGTCTGGGAATTTAGATTTATTTATTTATTTATTTATTTATTTATTTATTTATTTATTGTACACTGCTTGTTTAATGTATGTGAGGCCCTGGGTTCAATCCTCAAGATGAGAAAAAGCAGACCCTGCAATCAGTTTTGTGCTCTAAACTGAAGAACAGACAATTCTATTTATATTGGAAATAGAGTTCAAGGGATATTTAGTTTTAAAGTGATTATGTAGGATGTGAAACTAAGCTATGTTTTTATTTTTTAAGATTTATTTTTGTGCCGGGCATTGGTGTTGCTTGCCTTCATGCCTAGCACTCTGGAGGCAGAGGCAGGCAGATCACTTGAGTCTGAGGCCAGCTTGGTCTGCAGAGTGAGTTCCAGGGCAGGCTTCAAAGCTACACAGAGAAACCCTGTCTCAAAAAACAAAAACAAAAAAGTATTATTTTTGTGTATTTTGCCTGCAAGTTTGTAAGGGTAGCTTGTGAGTGTAATGCCAGGCCATCTGGTGTGAGTGTTGGGAACTGAACTTAACATTTGCTCTTAACCATATATTTGGCCCTGGAATCTTTAAAGACTGTTTCATATAGCACCCGCCAGCTACAATTAGCTATGTAGCCTGGGGGTGTGGGAAGTGGAGACAAGGTTTCTCTGTGTACTCCTTGGCTGTTCTGGTATTCACTCTGTACACCAGGCTGGCCTTGAATTCACAATAGATCAACCTCCCTGTGCTTTCAAGTGCTGGGATTAAGGTGTTTGCCAACACACCCACCTGTTTTTGTTTTTAGATGTTTTATTCTGTCCAAGGACTGGGGTTTGTTGCAGTTTTCCTGCCTTAGACTCCTGAGTGCAGCTGTAAGCCAGCTTGAGCTCTTCATAAAATAAATTTATCTGTGAAACCTTTGTTGCTTTAGATGGTAATATTCATAATCTGTCTTGGGAGCATTCCTCCACATTTCAGTATTTTCTGTCTTTAGTTGTGTGTATTGTGTCTTGTGGGTACTGGGAATCAACCCCAGGTCCTCTGTAAGAACAGTCCGTGCTTTTAACCACAGAGCTATCTCTCCAGCCTGTCTTGTGTTGGTTTAACTGTGATTAGGCTTTGGCTCCATTCACAGGGTGTAAGAAACATTTGTACCAGATTAATGTGACTGAGCTACCAAATTCCACAGCATTGTTGTCTAGGTGAAATTGTATTTTTAAATAGCTTTATATTATTTAAATATAATTTTATTTTAAATTATTTGAATATGACTTGTAAAAACCGACAAGTTGTTTGGGAAAATGTCAAGAATGTAGCCTTCCCAGCCATCAATGCCCCTTTCTAAAGGTCTTTATTCCTAGTAACAATCAGATTTGGCTAGATTAAGGCAGCTAAATAGGTTGGTTTCAGTATTTACCATTTGCCTTATGCAGCTAAACAGGACCAAATCATCTTCCAGGTTGTGTTCAGAGATGGAGGTTAGTCCTTAAGGATTGCATACATAATATATTTCGGAATTTTTGTTTTGTTTCTTATGGGTTTTTAGGAAGGGTATTTACTGTGTGAAAGCTGTTGAGTCAGTTGGATTTTCTGTGGAATTCTATAACATGAGTTGCAGATTTTCCTTCTTTTTTTTGTGTGTGTGTGTTTTCAAGACAGGGTTTCTCTGTATTGCTTTGGAGGCTGTCCTGGAACTCACTCTGTAGACCAGGCTGGCCTCGAACTCACAGAGATCTACCTGCCTCTGCCTCCCAAGTGCTGGGACTAAAGGTGTGCACCACCAACATCTAGCTGGAAAACCACTCAGTTCTATCTGCATGTATGCCTGCATACCAGAAGGAGGCATCAAATCCCATTGTAGATGGTTGTGAGCCTCCATGTGGTTTCTGGGAGTTGAACTCAGGACCTCTGGAAGAACAGCCATGGTTCTTAACCTCTGAACCATCTCGCCAGCCCCAACAATAGCATTTTTAATTTTATTTATTATTATTATTATTATTATTATTATTATTATTATTATTATTATTATTATTTTTGGTTTTTCGAGACAGGGTTTCTCTGTGGCTTTGGACCCTGACCTGGAACTAACTCTTGTAGACCAGACTGGCCTCGAACTCACAGAGATCCACCTGCCTCTGCCTCCCAAGTGCTGGGACTAAAGGCATGCATCACCAACACCCGGCTTGGTTTTCCTTCTTACTTGAATTCATTTTGCCAATGAGCATCAGAGAGTCTTGGAAAGGAAAGCAGTGTTGAACGATGAACAAGTAAGTGAGGTCCCAAGTCGTTCCATTGATAAATTGGAAGCAACAGCTGTGTGCCTTTAAGGTGGGTTTGTGAAGATGGTATTGGATATGCCAATGAAATCAAGATGATGACAAATGTATCTCTTTATAACATTATTGGCCTTTGAAAGTGACATGTGAGGGCTAGAGAGAGATGGCTCAGTGGTTAAGAGCACTGACTGTTCTTCTAGAGGACCCAGGTTTAACTCCCAGCTCCCACATGGCAGCTCACGGTTGCCAGTAGCTCCAGCTCCAGGGGATCTGATACCTTCACACCAGTGCACATAGAATAAAGTTAATAAATGAAAAAAAGTGACATGTGAAACTTAGTTCACATTGGTAGTTGGATGACTATGCCCTACATATTTTTTTTAGCGCAGTGCTTCATTTGTCTTCTTGGTAGAGCTGGGTAGGTAGCATGTTTTAGTGTGATGGCCAGTTGCTTCCCTTCCTTGCTGTGACTTTGCTCTTCTGTACTAAAAGACCCAAGATTGTAAAACAGTTCCTCTGTGGCTGGGGCCTTCATGTTTGTCTTGTTCCCACATTTAGAAGTGTTAGAGGGCCTTAGTTTGATTTCATAGGAAGTGGCTTCTTTGTAATGTTGCCCATCCTCATGAGCAGCAAGAATACAATGAGTCTGAAATCCACCAGATGTGAGAACCTTGGGTGGGGTGGGGATGCCTCCTCTTGGGAAAGTCAGCTATTGCCATAGGCATCAGATTCTGAGGTTGACCTCAGTAGGTTGACATAGAGCATTAATGTAAAGCAGTGTTTAGAAATTTCTAAGTTCATTTGAAAGGCTGCATCAGAGTGATATAGGTATGTGAATGTAAATAGTTGTGTAAATGTACTGTGGATGTCAGTGGACAGATCAGGTGTATCCTCATCATGCCCTAGTGCTTCCAGGTGACAGTGGATGGCTTTCTCCCCTGTAATCAGATAGAAACACCAAAAGAATGCACACATAAAATCCTTGTATTCCTGTGTCTGGGTATGTGTAGGTGAGTTCAGGTACCCATGGTGTTGGATCTCCCAGAAACTGGAGCACAAGCAGTTTTTGTGAGTGCTGGGTACTGAATTTGGGACCTGAAAGAATAGAATAGTACTGAGCAATCTCTCTGGCCTCATTTGTTAGTGCTTTTGGGGTTTTTCAAAATTGAGCTGTAACAACGCAGGGCAGTCAGGCTGATTTTTAACACTGCAAATAGCTAATGAAAGGAGTACCTCTCTCCTATGGGTATCTTAATTTCCTCTCAGTTGTTTGAATCGTTCTCAACGTTTAAAAGAAACTTGTGGCTTTAATGAGGCAAAAGGACTGTTTACTTCAGGTATCTGAGAGTGGTTTTGGCTTCCTGATTTGCAGTGTTACATCATAAAAAAGGAACTTACAAAGTAATGGTGTGTTGCCTCACTTCTCTTGCAGAATTGATGTACTAGATGCATTTAGTGTATGTAGCAGTAGTACATGGATGGAGTGAATTTATTCCTCTGCCTTTGTATTTAAAATTTTTTGTTTTAGTTTTTAGAGGTAGAGCTTTGTGTAGCTCAGGTTAGATTCCAGCTGCACTACATAG